GAGTGCTAGTGTGGTTACTTCGAGAGGTTACGGTTGAGGTAAACCAGACAAAACAACAGCGGGACCCTTGTACGAGAACGATAAAATTCAAATGTACGCCCAGGTGTCTGATCAGAAATTCTGTTTGGAGCATTCCATGTGGTATAAGATTTGAGTCGAAGATTACTGTGCCTAGCCAAGTTCAGGCACATCATAAAAACATCTATACATCATGTAAAGGAATCAAACCGCCTCGAAAAAGCTTGCCTCTGGATATTTCAGACGTTTGCTGCGCGACATGAAAAATTATTTTTTGGCGTGACTATACCATAGAATGTTAATTTGCTAAGGTAAAAATAAAGCCAAAACGATTTCCAAAAATGAAACGGCATTCCAAATGGTGAACTTGAAAACTTTAGGATAATTCATTGTCGATGCCTTGATAGTGTCATGGCCACTTTAACACAGAGGGCTCTCTTTTGTAAAACTCGATCGAGTTGCTCTTCCTTTAGTTTTCAGACGTCTCGGGAACTGTTGCATATTTTATCGGTGAAATTAAATTCTCGTTCGTCATTGTTAAAATTGCGAATTAGCCGAACTCAATTGAAGATTTTTGGATAACGGACACCTTTAAAGAACACCATCGTCTAGAAAACCGCATAAATCTGGGTACTTTTTAAAATACTGATCACAATTGATCAAAGATTGAAGTTATATTTATCTTTTTGTAATTCATCTGAGCGGTTGTTCGAAAGTGGTCATCTCGTACAACGAGACATAATTTTCTCTCTTTAGCTGAGTTTGAAAAACTTTATCACCCACTGTTACCTAAAAGTCATCCCAGGTGGTGTTTCAAACGGAACCAACATTTGTTAACATTTGGTAAAAATAGAAAAAATAATTAAAAGATATGTTAAACGTCTTCCTCAGGAAGCTGGGACTCGAGTTTCTCGAGAGAAATCGAACTTCACGCCTTCAGCAGGGTCTCGCGGTCTGATGCTTCGTGAGCACTTGTGGGTAAACTTGGTCGTAAAACAGCCATTAAATAGCTTCATATGAGACAATTTGCCTGTATACTCCTAGAATTAGCGGCTCAGCTGAAACTCACTTGTGAAGTTAAATCGATCTCTGAAATAAAAATTAGTTTGTTGAAGAAAGAGAATT